ACAGAATAGGTACGATTTCAATCTGTGAATGCTTTTGCCATTGACATTCTTGGAGGGGAAAGACAACTCGGTACCTTCTTCCTCCTTGATAAAACACCTCTGACAGTGATATTTCTATCACCTTTTTTTTTTTAATTGTTTAGGCACCTTAAAATACTAATGAGAATTGAACTGTTCTCACTTGGCTGCAAGCATATGCAGAGCATTTTTGCAGGCCACCATGTCCTGCAGGCCACAGGGAGCAATTCTGACAACACCTGTGAGAATTGCCAGACTTGTACCATCTCCTTGGAAGTTGATGGAGAAGTGGTGCCTAAAGAAGCTTCAAGATGAGGCAAGTAACGGAGAATGGGTTCCCTTCTTCCCTGCCCAGGATATATGTCTGGAGGCAAAGCTGAACCTGGTCCTTCTCCATTCTGGCTGGGGTCACACGGTGAGTCCTTGTGTGTGTCCTTGTGTGAGTGCCCTTGCACAGACCATGCTGGGGAGTGGGGTGGGCAGAAACCTGCAGACACCTTCCTGGAGAGTCTGGCTGTAACAGTTCCTCTTTAGGGACTTGAGTGCCCGGAGCATGACCTGCCTAATGGCTAAAAGGCTAATATCTGCTGTGTCTGATCCCCAGCTCCTGTCTCAAAGGGCTGAAATCCAATTCACCTCAAACCATCTGGAGCCCATTTCCAAATGAATAATTCCTTCAAGTCTTATTTAATCCATCAGCAAACGGCTTCACTCTTTGGTTTGCCGTGACACAAATTCCCTCTGAGGGCCCCGAGCAGGTCAACATGCGGGTGTATATGCCTGTGCTGAGTGTGTGTGTGATGGGGCAGCTACCTGCTGTTGACCTGAGGCATCTTCCCCTGTCCTGGAAGAGGAACAGTATTAAGGCTCAACTCCACTTGCTGTGACAATCAACCTCTGACAAAGGAGGTGTGTGCCACAGCAGTTCAGGGGATGCACAAGGTGTACCTCTGATAAAAATGGGAGGTCACTACCTCCAATTTTCTGCCCATCTGCAAAACTAGATGGGGGTTAATTCTCATCTGCAGCAAGGAAGATATGAAGTGGATGCTGAGCCAGAAATCTGGTTTTAATACCGTTCATGAAGAAGCTCTTTCATCTTCTGCAATATTATATTTAAAGAAGAAAGAAGAACTTGAAGAATAGTATTAGCATAACATTACATATGATTCTTCAAATTTGCAAGTATTACTAAAGAATATTGGGGTGTCAACATGATCCATTGTATAACATCGGTAAATGGTGAAAAAGGAGAGGAGAAAAAATTTTTTTAAAGCACAAGTATCTCTCCACAATGTTAAAAACATGTTCAGTAGTCACTGCTGCATCTCCTCATGCACATGTTTTGTTTGTAAATGTTACTGCAAAAATCACTGTGTGGTAACAGCATGCTTGCTGCACAGGTTACCAAGATTTTTGTTCAGCATAAAAATTCATATCGTGAATACCCTTTAGCCATGAAGGTTTCCAATACATTGAAAAAAGGAATAGCAACCTCACAAACCAAACCTGCAGTACAAGCATTAGTACTTGAACTGCCTTGCCTCTAACCTGTGCATCACACAGTGGCTTTGTATGTCATAAAGACATCATCAAAGCCAAACATTCAGACAACATTTTCTGTGTTGCTGGATCCTGTAGGTGCTACCTGCCTCTGCAGATCAGCCTATAATGATAATTTCTCTGTGCATGTTTCTTAATTTAAGAACAGAGGTAATAACACTGTTACAAGTGCTCTCACAGGTGCAGGACAACCTGCATCATTACATCACTCCTCTTAGCCACCACTAAACCCTGTGTAGGGTTTGATGACTTTGGGATGTAACACCAAGAGATGCTGGGGACCAAGGGATGCCTGCAGGCAAGATGCTCAGCACCTCCTTCAGCTCCTGACTTGCAGTGTAGCTTTCCTTACATTGCTTTCACCTGGCTACGTCTGCTCTCACAGCTACTCTGCTGGTCTAGAAGAGCAAGCTCTGGTCCACTCCATTCCCCTACTCTTGGCAATGAAAACAGGTAAAACTGTGCCTGCATTCATGTCACTAGCAAAGATGCTGACAATCTTAATGTCGTCAGATCTGGAGAGAATTTATGTCCCAGATCAACAAAAGTACTTGTCTCTCCGTGACTCCAGCAGGAGATAATCCATCTCAAAACCTCTATCAATTTAGTTTTGGTTCTCCCCCTTTCCCTTGTATAAAAGCACTTGAAGCTAAAACATTAGGTTTCCATCAGACTCAAGATAGGGACAAAATTTTGAGGACAGAAAATTCTAGTTATTAGATCTGTACATGACTTTTTTGTCTCCCCATAGCAGTCTCTGCTTTATACATTTTACTTCTCTTCATTATAACAGAGAAGACTAAAGAAAGTAATTCCCCCGGCACATGGTGTCCTTCCTTCTCAGCCTCAGCAAGTACCATCAGACTGGCCTTCTGAAACTTCAGGGAGAAAAACCTGTCATTCAGCAGCAGCAGCCTCTATGCTGCTCTGAGTACACTTCCCTTCAAAAGCCTCCTGTCAGCTTCACTCCAGTGAGCTGGCAGCTGCCCAGCTGCTGGGGAGGCAGATTTGGGAAATGTATTCCAAGAGACACCTCAAACTTCATCCTCTTGTGTATACTTCTATGGCTCTCCTCCCTGCAATCCCCAGACCTCCATTTGTATTAGTACAACCACTTAAAAGCATGGTTTGGAGATTTGAGAAGGGTTCTTGCTTCATTGTAGTTTGACCTCTGCATGGAGGGTGGGCAAGTGAGGGACACAGTCTGGAGTACACTGCTTGCACCTCACTGGTGAGGGGTGATGCTGTCCCATCCACCCTGGGCAAGTACATAGAGTTTAGCTGTGACTTCAGGAATTGTTTTTCACATGGGTTTTTATAATGGATCTGCTCCTGCAGTTATCTGCCAGCATAGATAGAGTACAGCTCTTCTGCACTGACTACAGTGCAGCAGGAGCTGGCAGCCTCCACAAAACACAGCTGTGCTTGCTGATTTCCTCACTGGCCGTAGTGCCTGTGAGTCAGAGCAGAGGTGGAAAAGCAGCAGCAGCTCCTCTCACATGGAACAGTTCTTCCTGCCTGCTCATCCATCCTACTGTCCCACTCCTGCCATGATTTCTCCAGTCAAATTTCAGATGTGCCCATGATTCCCTGTAATGATCTGTTTCTTTTTGTTAACTATTCAGTAATGTTTGCAGAATATAAACCAGTTGGGACATCTTGCCCGGGGACAGACATCGGCAATCCAAAGATTCAGAGAAAGTAAAGCTAAAGGATGCTGTCACTACAGTACTTCAAAAGAGCATCCGATGTCTCTCCCTCCTCCTCCTACACATCCAAAATGTGCAATGAAGTAAGCAAGCACTGTGCAGCCCGAACAGAGTGGCTACAGTTTATGCTATACTGCCTCATCTGTTCTTTGCTCCAGCTGTTCCTGGAAGGAGGTGCCACTGAATTGTTTCTCTCTTCCTCTGATGCTCTGGAAGAAAGACAGAGGGTTTTTTTTTTTAAATCTTGGCTTTTTAGCAAAGGAAACAAGGCTGGATTGTTGTGTACTGGCACTTGCTACCTTCTCAGCCCATACCCTTCTTGCTGTGCAAGCATGGTACAAGACATGACGTGCTGAAATAATACTTAGTTTTGCAGCTGGCCTCATTACTGCTATAATTTAGAAGGTATAACCAGTCATCAGCATTTCAAAATATATTCAGTTTTCAATAAAGAGGCAATTTCCACGGGGCAATGACCATAAATGAATGACAGTATACTCAAGAACAATGAGCAAATCTGCCAGTCTGTCAAGAATTTGCCTGATGTGTCATCACAATTTAATTAAGGGAAAAAATTTACTGCAAGAGACAGCAGGCCAAGTCAAACCCCCTACAAAGGTACTTCCTTCCTTTGTGCATTAAAAATAATCTCCCTTTGCTTTGAATTACTGATGCACAAGCAGCTTGTGACAAATCTTTCTCCAGAACTAAATAGATGGCTGAAAAGTATGAGCCAAATTCAGTTTTTATACATTGGATAAATTTGATTCTAGATGATTTTTGGGTCTTTCAAACCCACCTCAGTATATCAGCTGATTATTTTCCACAAATTTTGTGCCCTGCAGTCACTGAGTCAACCCCAACTACAAGGACTTCTCAGCTCTCTGGAACGTGGCCACGGCAGACACACTTCATTCCCCTGCCCCGGGGGCACTGAGCTGCTGCCCACCAGCACAGCCTTTCTCAGCCTTGCACTGCACCTCTGAAGGCATCCAGCTGGTTGTCAGAGCCTGCCAGGCAACATCCTCCAGCCAAATCCAGTTTCTTCCACTTCTGTCGTTTCAGCGGAAGAGTGAAAAGCCTTCTCAGTCTTTGGAGAACTACTTCATTCTGAAGAAACTTTTCTATCAGAGGTATAGTGTCTCAGCATGTCAAGGGATGCAAGGCAGCTGCGCGGACATTGTTTATACCAGCTAGGAACCTGTACAGTATTATGTTCAAAATAATCTGTTTTCACTGACTGAATGATCTGACCAATGGCTAAAAGTACAACAAAAAGGTATTCTGTTTAAATCCAAATGTTTCTTCGTAGTTCTAGAAATACAGATACAGTAGCACCATATTTGCATGGGAGAATGAGAAAGCTAAGATGACTTATTGAAGCTGTGCTGTCTAGAGTATTTGTTTTGTCGAAGATGAGTGAAGTCAGAAGAAACAATAAAAACAGTGCATTTTTCAAGAACATCAATTTTAGGAGGGTAGTTTTCTCTAGCTTAATAATCCCAGATACCACAACACATATAAATAAACTGGGGACTGAAAGCAGTAGTTTTAACCTGGTAATGTTCCACAAGGCAAACACACCTAAGTGCATTTATCTCTTTTCAGAACAGATATCTAAAAGCATTATCCTCCATCATGCTGTCGTCTGTTATCAGGTCCACATGCAGGCCCAGAAAGACTATGCAGTACATGTATAAATATACATACCCGACTTGGGTACAGTCTCGATATGGCAGCACTGAAAATATGCTACAGAAGGATCTTCTGCTGCTGATAAGGACTATTCTAAAATATAAAAGAAAATAAAAGAAATCAAAGACTAAAATTTAAAAATCCCACCACAATAAGCAAAGCAATAGATGTTACCACTGAGGAATTCATAATCATAAACTTCCATAATGAATGATTCCTCCCTCCTCTTTTTTATCTCACAGGAGTCATGCTATGGTGTCTTTACAGAAGTGCTGAAGCCTGTGCCATAGCAAATAAGATGTAAACAAGTAGTGCAGTCCCATCCCTTCTGTAGGCTTTCTAGGAAAACTACCTTGAATACATTACTTGGAATCCAGGATAGATGCTTTTCTAGTGAAAGGAGTCCACCCACAAAGGCATGGGACCATTCTGACAACTCACTATGATGGCTGAAACTAAACAGACAAATCCAGCAGCATCCCAAGTAATACACACCAACAACTACTGGTGATACACACCACAATTCTGTGGCTGACCTGGAGTCTGCATTTATTGGACAAAGAATTTCTGGCTGCTGGTCATGACCTTTCTCTGCTAAAGAAAGGACTCCCTTGATTTTCAGCTTCTAGTTCCTGAAATAGACTTCATCCACGAATCAGGCTAAGTCTGCTCTTGTCATAAGCTTTCAGATCCTTTCACTGTTTTCAAGGCTCCTCCTTGAGTCTTCTGGTTTTCCCCATCGCCCTCTTTTGGTCTCTGGGAATTATCACTGACCTCAGCAGTGGCACATCTTCCAGTCTTACCTTTAAGATCAGTGTCCAGCCCTCAAGACCTGCCAGCCTCTGTGCTCAATAATTACATTAGCCTTCTTGGTTATGATGTTGCATTGATACTCAGGCATGACTGATCCCACAGTACTCTGCCATTTCTCCTGTAGCCCAACATCTGTCTCAGTCACTGTCAGTGCTGAATTCCTCCTCCTGTAAACATGGCTTGCCTTTATTCCTCAGGAATTCCTTAGGGAGTTAGCTCAAGATTTGTTTATATGAAAGCATACATTATCTGCCTGCAGAGAGCTTATCTCAGAATCCAGGACACTCTTAGAGCAAAGGCCTTGTATTTTTAACCAGTCTCCAAATCTCTGCAACATCTGCAAAGTCACTGTGTGATACTGTCCTGGTTTCAGCTCTGATAGAGTTCATTTTCTTTAAATCAAATAGCTTGGAGGAACCTATCTGTTACACAGTCACACTATTGGCTTTAGCCATCAAGATCTGACATATTAGTAAGCAACATCAAAACCACCTTGAGGTGAAGACCTACTTTCCATAAAACAGCATGGACTGTCAGTAGCTACATTACTATACTTTTGGGAGATGCAGATTGGCAAGAAGCCAAGAGAAGCTTGATGAAGATGCAAGACATAAAATGCCAATAAATAACTGATTGTTTATAAATATACCCTCATTCCTTATTACCTTCAGGATGCTGAGAACTGTACAATTGTACCGACCCCTCTTCCCTCTAAAGTTGGCCAATAGGCTGCACCATGACAAATTCCTCTAAGTGATGGCAATTTGTGCTATTTTCTGACCTGATTAGCGTTAGAATTTACTGCTGTTTTACCTTTCCAAAAATCTCCACTTGTGGTCAAAATGCTATGACCTACTGCTATGTTGGTTGTCAGGGCTATTGCGCTTCCTTGCTCTGCTCTCCAACACTGATTTTTCTCACCTTGTGTCCCACAGATCTGTATGTGAGGATTTCACCTGAATTTTTCATCCTTTGTCCTGCACTGGCCAAAGTTGGACAAGAAACCCTAGGAAGATATTTTGTTCTTTACTATCTGAAAGCCAGCATAAGCACCTATAAATCCCATACCAGCTGTTATTAAAACACTGCTTCCTTAAGTGACCAGCTTAGTCATTGTTCTTGGAAAAGGTTTAGCTCCCCAAGAGAGCCACTGCACATAATGCTTGGAAAAATGCAGAATGATCGATTTTCCTTCTCTTGGATCATTCTGTTACAGCAATCCTATTTTCTCCCTCAGAGGCATGTTTAAAAGCAAAGGGGGATTTACCCTATAATAAAGGTGGGTTTTTAATAATAAACATGCACACGTGTTCAGGAATCTCTCCTGCAGCAGATGAAGTATGATTTCATTGTTGTCTGAATGCTGTAATACTGCTTACCTATGGTAAGTATCTCAGATTCTGTAAGACGGTCTCATGGTGCAGCAGTAAGTTAAAGAGCAGGGGGGAATAATTTTTCATATTTGAGAATGGCAATCCACAAGCAAAAAAGCCCTGACATATGATTAATTTTGTGCTTGCCACTGCTTATTGCTGAATGGTTGCTACTCACAACAGCTTGCTTGTTCACTGGAAGCCTTGTTTGCTGATGTATGAAACTTGGCACAGATTTCGAGGCTGACATCAGAAAGCATCTTTGAATTCGGAAAACCACAGTACCCACTAAGCATATTACCCCCCTCCCTCTGGTTGCTTCTAGAAATACAGCTCTTCCACCAACGCCCTACACCTCCCTAAAAATACCACTCAACTCCTAATACTTAAAGAAAAACAAACTGGTGCTTCCATGTCCACAAGTAAAGACAACAGTAGGAAGTTACCACAGAACTGTGTGTATCAGAAGGAATCAGACAAGAAAGGAAATAAAAAGCACCAGCCCAGCCTGTATTTTTTTTCAGATTTTTTTCCCTTGGGACCCAAGCATTGCCTCTCTTTCCACAAACCGGCGGACCTTCTTTACACAAAGATCTCCCATACAGAGTGTGAGAGGAGCCCACGGCCGGCACTGCCAAGATGCCACAAAAACAGAGCTGTTGGAGGAGGTTGATGCAAAACAGCCTTAGGAGCTGGACTGGAAGGAAAGTAGGGAAGGCAGTGGTCAGATGCTCATCATGGAGGGATAAACCAGCATTTTATGTAGAGGTCAGATGACATGCATGGTAACAAAAAAAATTCTGAAGACCTGCAAAGGTTTACTGAGCAGAAAGTCCAGAAACTTGTCACAAAGTTTGCTTTGGACAAGAAGGTATGGTGGAAGCCACTGCTGTTCAAGAAAACTGAATTATTGCTTATGGGAGAAAAGCATTTTTCAGCTCTTCAACAAAGGGCATCTATGATCCTGTGCAGCTCTGAATGAGCTCTCTCTGACATCAAAAGCAGGCTGAGAGTGAGTTTATGCGCCCTGATTCCAATTGTCCCACCTAGACATGTTTAGAATCACTTCATGAAAAGCTTTTCAGTCTCTAATTCTCACATTTCACCCAAAAGTTGTACTGATTACTAGGGTTCAGAGCAACCATTATTTTGCAAGAGAGTTCTGACAATGTGCAAAGGTCTAAGACTGTAAAAGCTAATCTTCCAACTTCTTTATGAGGTGTACGCTATAAAAAAACTTACTGAGCACAAAGTTCTCAACAGAATCAATACTTTGCTTGACTGGAAGAATAACATCTGCTTTCTTCAGTGTCTGTCTAGGTTTCATTGTGTTGCACCAAAAGGCTGTGATCAGGCTATGTGATATACACCATATACACCAATCACATGTGGAATACTGTAGCCTCTTGTCTCATTCCTGGTTGGTTGATATTTGACAGCCAGGGCCCTGCTGCCCAGCACACAAAGGCAAACACACAAATCACAGATGCTGTCTGGGTAGCAGCTCTCATTTTGGAGCCTCACAAATTCAAGGGCTATTAGAAGGTGGCTGAGGGGAATTATGAACTGTGAGGATGCTGCAAATAGTCAGCCTCTTGGACTGCATGTGTTGCATTTCCACAACTAAAAGGGCAGCAAAAGAGATCTTTCATGATGGTACTTGGCCTTTATTTAGATGTGTACACTAACAAAATAACTGAGAAAGTAATGGCATGGGGGTGGGAGAGGAACATTGTTTTACTGCTTTTTATATTTGCTTTATACGATAACTGTAGAAATGTTCTTGTCCCATTTTCACTATTAACTGTTTATTCAGCTGGCTCAGGTTGCTGTTTACGTGGCTTGTTTTTGCTAATCTTCTGTTTCAGGGCTTATGGAGGATATCACCAATAAGCCTGCTGAGTGAAGTGGGTAAAACCATATGCTGATGACTACCTGTGCTAGTTTGTATGTTACGGTTGACTTGTCTTTGTCTTTGCATGCAAAAGTTTATTTTGTGCTATTTTACAAGATTGCTTTGATAATACAGTCTAGGAAACCTAATTTTCTACTTCCTTTAATAAGCCACGTACTACAAATCCAAAGAAACCGGTTTAACCAGTGCACAGAGCTATCAACAGGAAGCTTTACAAGGACTAGCTGATAAGCTCTGATCTGAGCATAGGTGTTTTTTCTCTGTGCTAAACAGCTGAACTCTTATTTCAACCACAGCTAATCCTGCCTTGCTGCTGGACTGACAAAGGCTGGACCCAGAGCATCGTCACTCCACATGTGTCATCCACAAGGCTGAGAGGGGAAGAGCTCTCAGTGCCGCAGGAAAAGGACACATCACTTTACAGGTTGAGAGCCACAAGTAAGGGCAGTTAACAGAGAGAGGAGCTCTGAGCTATCACCCACACTGCAGTTTTCTTTGCTGTGACACTCACAGTCACAAGCCAGTGAAAAAATTACATGCTAGCTATTTTAAAGCCCAGTCACCAAATTCACCGCCCAAAAATATATTCAGTGTAGATGTTTTCAAAGCTGGGTTCCTCAAGTTAAGTGAAAGGCTGACATGCTGTGACAGAAGGGCCAGTCAAAGAGCCTGACTTCAGCCTAGTTCAGCACCTGTGTCCTGCACAACCATGCATGAGCCCCCTGGGACAAGGTTTCAGGCATGGAAAGGAGCCTCAGTAGGGTTTTCTATCCATTGCAATACTTGGGCTTCTCGGTGTCACAGGAAACTGGGGAGGACACAGCTTTAAAGGTCTTAAGGTACTCAGAAACACTGCTTGTGTTTCATTTTACAATGAACACATAAAGCAGATCCACCTGAATTTCTAGAGGTCCTTTTCATCCAGAATGCCTACTAACTTCAGTGACTGCAACTGCATCCAGACCCCTTAGAAAAACAGAGTCTGGGCTCATCTTACTTACTGCTAGACATAGAAGTGACACAAAGTGTTAACTTTATATTATATTTTTAGCTAATATCGTTGTGGTTCTACAACCATAGGACGAAAGCTATTTCCAAAACTATCTCTTATATCTGTATCTGCATTCTACATAAAGAGATCTTTATTACAACTGTGGAAATATTCTGGAAAACTGTCTGCTGATAAAGATAAGAAGTCAGTTGAATAACAGAAGCTTCCTCACTGTTTTCTTAACAAGAAAAATACTCAGTTTTATTGTCAGGCATAATGACTGATCTGTGAATTAAGATTAAATGTTGCATATATGCTACAAATACTTTTTTTACAAAACACGGAGAAAACAGTTTACTAATCAAATATTTATTCATTCTTTTGCAGATAGTATTTCTATCAAGTTTATGCACAGATTTTATACACACAGCTCAGAAATTATTCGTTCTCTGTGCAATTTGTATAATACCTTAGAAGTATTTTTTGCTGTAAGAAATTCCAAGAGCATACATCTACTTATGCACAAAGTGGACTAAAATTAGAGGTCTGCTTTTCAGCGTTTGATTCCACACGTGTTTGTTGTAAAGACAATAATCAGCTGCTACTCAGACAATAGTCGAGTCAATAGTTCTGTGTGTGTCTGATACAAAAGCTGTTTCTAAAATCTCTCAGGGTCACCTTCTGCAACATTTATGTTGATTACTGCCTTGTACTGTATTTAACTGTATGTGTGAGAATAAAAGTGAAGAAAATTTTTCTTGAGCCAAGTAACATCTACCAGAACTCAATTCATAAAACCTGTGGTTCAATGCAGTGTCAGTGGCAGAGCTTCTACTGACATGGTGCCATATTTGATGGAAGTAAAAGGCTACATGCACAAATCAGTCCACCAGAACATACGTGGTTCTCAGCCATGGCAGTTTTATGAGAACAGGTATGTACAAGGGTCAACGCTCCATGGGCCAGTTTAGTCTACGTGCAATCTCTTCAGGTAGCCCAGTTCAAACCTATTCAGGTTGGGAAGAACATGAAGAAAAAAAATCACGTGGTACATGGAGAAACTGTCTTTGGAAAAATCAGAGAGGGCAGGTATTTTCTTTACAAGCAGGGAGGAGCTAGTTTTACTTCTGAGCTGGATGATACTGCAATAAAGAATCCATTCTGCTGATGGGAACACCAGGCCTTTGCAGTAAGTGAAGTCCCAGCCAATTCCTGCTGTACAGGTCCCACAGGTGCCTGTGGCTGTAACCTGGGAAGTCCATGTCCCAGCTCGGGGTGTGCTGCAGTCACAGCTGCACCCCTCACACATCCCCTGGAAGACTCTCTGCCTACATCTGCCATGAAAACCAGGATCCCACACCTCACCTTGCCATGATCATCCCTGGCTGTGCATTTACCAACCGGCACTTCGTATCCACTAATAGATGCAGCTGAAGTAGCATTGAACCACTGCTAAACCCGGTCCAGGCAGGTTTGCCCATCTGTGTACCCCTCTCACACTTAGAACCTGGTAACACTCTCAAAGAAATACAACCAGATTATGCCTAGTTTACTCCAACAGCACCACAGATTTTCCTTTTATGCAGGTTATTTGCATTAAGGAGACACAGGTCTTAAGATTTAAGGGCTATAGCACTTCCATTGACATGTACTTCCCTCGAGGAAGGAGTGTGCACTGCAGCCTGCACCTTCACAGACTGTGTTAGAGGCCATCAGTATGTGGTGAGTGCCAATGGCACACTGTGCTCTTGCACAGGGATGCTGATCCTGCCCCTTCCCTCATGCCCCATGGATTGCCTTGCAGAAGCAGCCTTTGCATGCACAGTACCTGCCATTTCTGGTATCGTGTTGCCGCATGTTCTTGATAAAATGAACCTTCTTAAAGTTCTTTGGTCTGGGTGATCCTGAGAGTGTCCGACATCTGAAAAATAAATCAGTTGCGGGGGGGGAGAAAGAAAAAAATAGAAGTACTCAGTTCCCTGCTGTACAGCCAAGAAGTCTACACAAAAGCAGGAAGGAAAGACGAGACAAATGATTCAAGTCACCCTGTGTTAGGAATCAGCAAGAACAATAAAGACAATAAGTCTGGAAACTAGACAGCTCAAACAAAAAAAATATTTAAAATAATAATAAGAAAAGGCACCATTCCCCTCGCTTCACGCAAAAAAAAAAAACCATAAAAAAATCTCAGCAAAGTAAAACTTCCTGTAATCTGCCGTGACAGCTTAGCCCAAGCTTTCAGAGGGAAAAAATTAAACTAAGCCAAAACCTGGTAAATATGCAATTTTTCCACTCATACCAAAACCCACGCTTTTGTAACCTCCTCAGCTATTGATAAAGGAGCCATTAAGGAAAGTTCTTTCTTGTTTTAATTTTAGAAAGGTTTAAAATCTCCCATTGTCAAGGATAATTCTTATTTGCTTTTAACTCTAAATATTACTTTTCATATCCCTGATAGTATGCAAAACAACTGAAAATAAATTATCTCAGGAAAAAAAATAATTAATCTTGAAAACATTAAGCCTTAAATCTATTTTACATCTGAATGCACTTTATAAATTGCAGTTACAGAAAGAAATTGCCAGAGGGAGGAGAGATGAGACAAACAGCAATATCCTCCCCTCCCTCCCCCCCCTTGCCTCTTTCTAATCAGCTGAAACCACAGCGCATGTGAAAGCTCTCTCTGTTTCATCTCAGTGTTGTTTTGTTGCAAGGCATGGCAGGACGGGCAGGCACTGCAGATAACGCAACTCCTGTGCTCCCTGCACAGCCAGGGCTGCTGGACCGAGGCTGCTGCGTCCTCCACGTCCTCCACGAGAGCTAAAGGACAAGCATCCTCTGCCGGCACACAGGATGAGTAGAGCCCCTCCGCATTAAGCTTCCCTAAACTATTTTTCCATCCTCTCCTCTGCACAGGCAGAGTTCAGCAGCTTCTCAAGCCGGAAAGGTCCTTTTGTTGGACTGAAACCACAGACCACTGGTCCCAAGCCACCAGGGACTGCCAGTCCTTGTTGCTGTACCAAAACATCACCACACTGCCCGGGCACACCCCGAGAGGGAGGACCCCATCACTTTGCCTTTTCTGCCTTCCTCCTGTTAGCAAAATCCTTGAGATTCCCTCACCCTCTGGTTGCAATTAGTCTTGTTAGCTACTTCACAGGAAAATACCAGCAAGAGAGACATTCTACCACCAATTCCGCAAATTAGCAAGTAAAAATACTGCCTGGCAAACCATACTTTGTTTATATCTTTTGCCAATTATACATGTTTGAATCACTTACGAGAATGCTTCATAACATGCTGGTAAGCATGCAACAGTAAGCTTTGTAAAAATAATCAAGCCTTGGTAGTAGGCCAATTGGTACAGCCTCTGCTATTAAGTCTTTGCTTCGAGGTAGGGAGAGACAGCCAATCTGCATGTGGATAAACAAGGCTATAGGCTAAACACCAATTTAAACCAGCTGAATTACAGGTTCTAAGATAAAGAGTCAGTCCAACTTAGGCTGCTGTCTTGATGAACAGCTGACCTGGAAGGATTCCATGCACTGGTTGGATTACTGACCAGCCAGTTTCTGAACTGTTAAGCAGTTGCTCCATTTTGCATTACCCTTGAGGATTGCCTAGTGACTAATTACTGTGGTCCCCAGAGAAGTAAGCTGTGGTCTCCCAGATGCAGAAACAAAACTGCACTGAAGCTGCTGATATAACAAGGATGAGGGCAGATTTATTAGTGGGGTAGCAGTCACAACCCTACCAGCCAACATGCAGACAGTAATGCTGGTAACCAAAATAAGATTGCATGTGCCGAGAGAACACACAGTTAAAATCCATAAAAATTAAAAATACTAAAAATACCAGCCTTCAAAAACTCCCTACAGTAAACCATCTGTACTTACTTTTTTAAATGTACCACATATGTTAGGGGCTAGCCATTCATATTAGTGACAATTATACTTTTCTGTTAATCAAATCTGACATTTTAATTCCTGACATTTCACTTAAATACTGACTTTTTGTTTAATGACCTAAAGCCAGGGAATGTGTAATTCATATCACCTACAACCTTGCAGGGTATTAGAGGTTTCAACACTTTTACTCACTACGAAGAACATCTTAATGTGAAGACCCAGCTACTTTTCAACACGGGGAGGGAACAGCAAATCTGTCCATGCATGTGCTTTACAGACAAGAAGCCAGAGAGAGAGTAAATAAAATGACCTCCGCAATGGGGCATTTTCCTCGATGTCCTCCAGAGTCTCCAGAGAAGATCGCTGGGAGATCAGCCGACGTCTGCAGAGAAAACAAAACACAGAACATCACCACTGATTAGAGGGCACGAGAAAGTCCCCAGAGAGTCTCAGAGAGATTTAGTAAAGATCACAAACCACCCTTCACTAGCCAAGCCATACCTCTGGATATTAATAAATTTTGTTCCATTCTGCTTCCATTCCAATCTGTTTGATTCCAACCAGAAGCAAACTTACTCCAAACAAGCTTCTACAGCAAAACAGAAGTTGAAACTTCACAACAGCTCCTGCTCAGCTCCTTATCCCTTCCTTCAAGGGTTTAATACCCATCTAACACCATTCCCACATGTGCTGTGGTACAGCTTGCAATGCTACAAATACAGTGCTTTGATAAAATAATGCAGGTGTAGATCTACGGAGATTGCCTGTCATTTGCACTGCCCCACTTCTCTTTGCCCCTTGCCCATTTTACCAAATAAATGCCACTTGTTTCTCAGTGATGTTAATCTCATCACTCCTGTGAGGAGTGCCTGAAGAGAGATGGAAGATGACATCAGTGTTGGCAGCACTGAGTACAAACCAGCAGTTTAGAAGAAAGCTCTGACCATCCTTGTGAGCAGCACAGGTGAGTTTAGTTCTGTTTTAAACTATTTTCCTAAGCCTGAGTCAGATCCTTCCTCTACCTTCAGTGAATTGAAGTATGGAAATCCTAGCATTACAAGTTTTCCAACTGTTCTATCAGGCAGGGAAGAAGGCCCAGTACAGGCCTGGTTTTAGTAGCAACTGCTGCTCCACAACCTCCAAACGCCCTGACAGCAGCACAAAACAAAAAACTACACCCAGCCCTCCAAAAAACACTGTAAATACCAAAAATTAATGTGTAAGGTAGAGCCCACCTGCAGACACATAATGAAAAATTAAGCTGGCAATCATGGAAACGTCAATGGGCGTTAAACAGCTGAAACAGCCAGCAGTGCCAGGGCAGTGTGCCCCAGCACCTGGCTGGCAGGAGGACTGCCAGCACCCATCGCTCCCAGGGGCTACTGCTGAGGCATAGAGCACCTCTCCAGTGATTTAATGAGTATGAACTTAAATGATAAAAATATTCATAGACTACCATTATTTTTTTCCCAATTCCCACTGAGCTGCCTTACTCCCTTGATCTGCAAGCAAAGAGTTTCCAGAGCGTTATGAGCACTCCTATGCTTGGAAGCATGCTCATTAATTTATTCCTGGGCTGTATTTTCACAATAAATTGTTTTCTCTGATGCCAGTGTAAGCAGTTTCTAATCCTTCTTGCAATTCCCTTGCCCCTTCAGTTGTGCTGCTACAACTGTTCCTGCAGCCGTGCTGCAAATCTGATTACCAAAATGTTTTTCAGTTCAAAATAACCCTGAGGTTCAGCGAATGATTCAGTTTGCTATTAATTCAAACACTAGATTTCTATCAGTAAGCCCTAGACAACAGATTTCAGGACAATTTGAATGTGTATGTGGCTTCTTGTGTACATAGAAAATAACAAAAAAAAAAATCTCAAACAATTTATAGATCAACCAAGTGTGAAGCTTAATCCTCTTAGGAAAATATGCAAACCTAAATCCCCTCAGGCTTTCTCTAAACTAGGATTTTAGGAGATCTGGTGCAAGATAGGATACACCTTCAAAATGCTAAGAAAAAATAAAATCTGCATTTCATAGACAAGCAAGAAGAGACCAAACATTTGCCTCCTGTACCTATGGGCACTCCCTTGGCTCCATCCACAGTCAGAGAGGACACAGGAATGCTCTTATAGGGAGAAATTTAGAGCAGGAGTAGCTCCTGTTCCATTTTCAGTTTCACTGATCCATAAGCAAAAGTTGGAAGTTTCAGCTACCAGCACTACTGATGCAGCAGATGATAGCTGTTGGCTTTTTAATACCTCTTTATACGTCATTAGCTTAATAACACACTTAAATAATGGCACTCTCCCATCTTGTGGTGTTACAATGCCAAAAGCATACTTGGCATGTTGTTAGTCAAAGAGAGATAAACAACAGTACAACCGTGCCACCTTCTTCTTATTAAATTTATCAAATTAGTCACGCTGTATTTTCTCTAGATGCCTCTGAGATGCCAGGCGCTTATACAACACCAGACGCATATTCCAGATGCCACTATAACCCTCTTCCAAGCCTCTTCTCGCCCAAAGTTATGCCCCATCCTCAATTTCATTGCCAATGACTTGAAGATCCTACATTTGCGTCTGTTATTAAGGCAGATGTGCTGGTTGGCAGAAACACACACAACTGTATTTCATCAGCTGGTCGTCCAGTTGCCTGCTGACTGATAAGATTCGTCCGGCTTCCCTTGCTGGTCTTAACTTCTCAAATCCAGTACCAGGGATGCTGCCTCCTGATTTTTGCTTGCTGACCTCAAATGCAACGCATCCCAGATGGAAACCGCTACCACCCCTCTTGGTACAAAAGACATCACACTGATTTTCACTGGTGGTGATTTTGCAGTATGTTGGGTATCTAACATGGCAAGTGAGTCTGCACAAAGGAGGGGGAGAAGTTCTTTGTTCACCCAAGCTTGGGAGAGGAGCACTGATACCTGAGCTCCCTCTCAACTAGTGCATAACACAAGCATAACTTCAAATAAATTCATCCAGGAAGGAAGGAAGCAAGCAAGCAGATAATCCCCCCCCAAATCAGTGAAGAAGGATGGGTCACACAGAAGCCTGCAGTGATATAAATGGGGACTGACCAGCCCAATCCCCTCCCTGTACTGGCATAGGTAGCAGTGAGACCAAGGATATCCAGCCCAGCACCCAACACAGCTGAGAACTGCCACATCTTTCAACTTACCCCAGAATTATTAGTTTTAATCAGTTTAGCTCCCTGTACTGTCAAAGAAGCACCAAAGAGGAGGATTTGAAGCAACTCTGTTGAAATCAGTTCATACTGTCTGGGAATGACTCCCTCTTTTCACTGAAGAAGCTCAGCCGCAATGAAGTATGTGCAATTATTCCAGTTTATCTTAAATCTTTACTTCAAGGCCTAATTAAGATGACCTAAATACCAATATTTTATAAGCTTTCCACAGCTGGATATTATACCAGAAATGCCAACTAACGAAGCTACCTGCTGTGAACCAAGTCACATCCTGTGCCACACACAAAGGAAAAATAAAAGTTTGGAAAGCTTTGGAAAGCAAAGCTTTTGAAAGGGTCTTCCAGGGAATACAAGGAAAATAATTTTTTCATTGACTTCATTAAGAATTAATCATCTCAACTGGTGTTTAATATTTAAATTAATCATCTTTCTTTCTTCAGGCAAGCACCCAGGGTTTGTCTATACAACTTCTAAAAGGGTTACTTTTCAAAAATTGATTAACATGCTATAGCAGCTGGTATATGTAGACACTTGCAGTGAAATAACCCCAAACTATTTTATATTACATATCAACATCATTCTGATGTAAAGCTATGTTAACACCTATTTTATATCAAAAAATGTCCTATTTCAATAATAACTAGGGGAAAATCCTCCTGTTGTTGAGGAAGAGTATGTGCAGAACAATTCAAAATAGCACAGTGTGACTCATCCAGGATTCAGGCTTTGGGCAGTCTTTAAACAGATGCAATTCCAATATAAAATGCTATAAAACTTGTGTAGAGTGTCAGCCAGCTAGCACACTAAAATACAACTGCTCTTAATAACCAAATTAAAGATGTTTCAATAAAAATAATAATTTCTTCCTAGTTCACAGAAAGCCTTAAAAAATTTCTACTAGTTTAATCACCACATTCCAGGTATACCAAACTCACACCTCTCTCCCCCCAGCCTCATGCACACAGAAAAAAGTAGTTCAGCACTGGAAAGATGACCTCCTCATTCTAATGATCAGCCCCTGTAGGACAATGATGGTCCCAATGAAGGTCACAGACCTTTTTTTTGTTTAAAAACCATGTAATATCATGTTCCCTTAAAAACCTATCTAAAATAGTTTTTGTCTGTTTCCTTGCTGTTGTTCCCGGTGCATGAGCCCAGAAATAACAACTACTCTACCATCAAATTCCAAGTCCAGTCCAAAGAAAGAAACTAAGGAGATATTTGATGCCCTGGTGTTTTAAATGGCACACTCTGTGGATGCTGACCTTGGGATTTTGTATCAAAAGACCCCAGACAATCAGGGCCTGTTTCTTAGCTACCTTTTAATTAAGATATTCATGACCCTGTTTGCATACTGGATTTATCTTTGACCAGCTGTCTGAATCTCTGTGGAAGTTTCTTAAAAGCTAAAATGTGGTCTTCGTTTCCCCTCTCCAAAGTCAGATTAATATGTGGCTCAGTTGCAAAACTGAAATAAAATACAAGGGCAAAAAAAAAAAAGAAAATAATTACAAGGACAAATAAAATACAGCAGGTCTGCAACCAAAACAGCCAACAGCCAAAGCAAGTAAACTGCAAAAATATTCACCATTACTACCCCATCAATCAGTGGAAAATTATCTTCACTGTCAATTGCTGCAAAATACTCAACTCAATTATGTTAAACATACAAAATCTTAAAGCCATATAGACAGGAGGTGATAAAAAAAAAGAGCTGCAATCAGAACACTGGATAAACTCATCCAGGAAGGAAGGAAGCCAATGATAATCCAAGAGATAAGGAAAAATAAATCCACGTGTAATGACTTTCTAGCACAGCTACAAAATCAGGAGGAAAAAGCTGCATTTTAAATACACCTCATTTCTGCGAAAGTTGGGGGTGTATTTTCTCCCCTGCTTCTATGAAGATTACAAACCTACAACAGATGAAGCCAGTAATGTGGGTGCTGCTGGCTCCCAGAACAAATACATCCCTGCAAGTCAAGCTTCTTCACTTTGTCTGGGACAAACGCATCCCTTCAGAGATGCAGTGACAATGCGACACATCATCTGAACACTTGCTGGCTGCGTTTACACTGATGGGAGAATTTGGGAGGAAAAAACAGCTGAAGACTGTTGGCAGCTCACATGTCCACTGGGTCACCTCCTCCCTTCTGGTGGCCAGGGAAAA